AACGCAATCAGCCCTAACAAAGCAGTCAGCCTTCACAGAGCACAATTAGTCCTTACAGAGCAGAATCAGACGTCAGAGAGCACAATCAGACGTCAGAGAGCCCAATCAGACGTCAGAGAGCACAATCAGACGTCAGAGAGCACAATCAGACGTCAGAGCACAATCAGACGTCAGAGACCACAATCAGACAAAAGAGAACACAATCGGACGTCAGACCACAATCAGACGTCAGAGACCACAATCAGACGTCAGAGACCACAATCAGACAACAGAGAACACAATCAGACGTCAGAGACCATAATCAGACATCACAGAGCACAATCAGACATCACAGAGCACAATCAGACGTCAAAGAAAACAATCAGACAACAGGGAACACAATCAGACGTCAGAGACCACAATCAGACGTCAGAGACCACAATCAGACAAAAGAGAACACAATCGGACGTCAGACCACAATCAGACGTCAGAGACCACAATCAGACGTCAGAGACCACAATCAGACGTCAGAGACCACAATCAGACAACAGAGAACACAATCAGACGTCAGAGACCACAATCAGACGTCAGAGACCACAATCAGACAACAGAGAACACAATCAGACGTCAGAGACCACAATCAGACGTCAGAGACCACAATCAGACGTCAGAGACCACAATCAGACGTCAGAGACCACAATCAGACAACAGAGACCACAATCAGACAACAGAGAACACAATCAGACGTCAGAGACCACAATCAGACGTCAGAGACCACAATCAGACGTCAGAGACCACAATCAGACGTCAGAGACCACAATCAGACAACAGAGAACACAATCAGACGTCAGAGAGCACAATCAGACGTCAGAGACCACAATCAGACGTCAGAGACCACAATCAGACGTCAGAGACCACAATCAGACGTCAGAGAGCACAATCAGACAACAGATAACACAATCAGACGTCAGAGACCACAATCAGACAACAGAGAACACAATCAGACAACAGAGAACACAATCAGACGTCAGAGAGCACAATCAGACAACAAAGAACACAATCAGACGTCAGAGAGCACAATCAGACAACAGAGAACACAATCAGACGTCAGAGAGCACAATCAGACAACAGAGAACACAATCAGACAACAGAGAATACAATCAGACGTCAGAGAGCACAATCAGACGTCAGAGACCACAATCAGACGTCAGAGAGCACAATCAGACGTCAGAGACCACAATCAGACGTCAGAGAGCACAATCAGACGTCAGAGAGCACAATCAGACGTCAGAGACCACAATCAGACGTCAGAGAGCACAATCATCAGTCGTAAATCACAACACGTCAGAAATATTGCCTGGAGGGTTTGACTCCAGATAACCCCGCATCAGTGCGACGAGGACATTACAAAGAACAAAAAAGTCTACATGTCGTTGTTCCCAGCGAAGGGAAGAGAGTCAGTACTCCCTGAACAAGTCACCATCGCCTCGAAGGCGTGACAAGAGACCATTCTCAAACAAGAACAAACAAAAATACCCAACAAGTACAACAGCTGACATTGCCCCGGTGGGAGCCGGTCGGCCGAGCGGACAGCACGCTGGACTTGTGATCCTGTGGTTCTGGGTTCGATACCAGGCGAGAAACAATGGGCAGAGTTTCTTTCACCCTATGCCCCTGTTACCTAGCAGTAAAATAGGTACCTAGGTGTTAGTCAGCTGTCACGGGCTGCTTCCTGGGGGTGGAGGCCTGGTCGAGGACCGGGCCGCGGGGACACTAAAGCCCCGAAATCATCTCAAGATAACCTCAAGATAGCCCCTTTTGCCATCCTTGCTCCAAGAAAAAGAAAAAACCACCATCCTTCAAGAAATAAATTCCAATCCTAAAACTTCGGCAGCTGACAGACTCCTTGTCCTGAAAAAAAAGTCATCCTGAGATATCTGGTCCCAAAAAACAATTCGACAGCTGACAGGATCGTAAGACCTCCCGTTTCCCCCCGGACACAGGAGACCATTTGGGGGCGGGGCTGTCTGGCTAGGGACGTCATGACATTCTCCCTTGGGGAAAAATCCCCAAAGCTTGGGGAATTTTTCCAAGCTTTGGGCCAAAGACTGCCAATGGAATGCTCATTTTCTTCGTCTGTTTATACAAAGACTTTGCCGGCTTCTAGAGCGTAATTGAAGCCGTGAATGATCTTCTTGAGGTTATCTTGAGATGATTTCGGGGCTTTAGTGTTCCCGCGGCCCGGTCCTCGACCAGGCCTCCACCCCCAGGAAGCAGCTCGTGACAGCTGACTAACACCCAGGTACCTATTTTACTGCTAGGTAACAGGGGCATAGGGTGAAAGAAACTCTGCCCATTGTTTCTCGCCGGCGCCTGGGATCGAACCCAGGACCACACGATCACAAGTCCAGTGTGCTGTCCGCTCGGCCGACCGGCTCTCACCATCACCATGATGGTGAATATTGAGAAACGCCTCTACTCGCCTGACAGCTGGGTTGACAGCGCTTCGGATTCGTAGTCCTGAGGTTCCGGGTTCGATCCCCGGTGGAGGCGGAGACAAATGGGCAAAAATGTCTCTTTCTGCCTGATAGCCCCTGTTAACTAGCAGTAAATAGGTACCTGGGAGTTAGACAGTTGCTACGGGCTGCTTCCTGGGGGTGGAGGCCTGGTCGAGGACCGGGCCGCGGGGACACTAAAGCCCCGAAATCATCTCAAGATAACCTCAAGAAATGCCTTATGTATGACCCTCTGTCCTGCGTGACAGTGAATACCAGCATTATCCTCACTTTAATAAAACTATCAAAATCCTCAGATAAGGCAAAATTGTAATTAATTTTGTCAATAAAGATGTAAATAATAATAATAAGAGTCCAGCAAAGTCGGGATAGAAGGAAACATCAGCAGACAAGATCAGAAACACGGAGTCTGCTCTCTGCCCTAACTGCTGCTGCTGCTGCTGCTGCTGTGCGACCCGCCAACATGAATCGACTCCGGATAGCCTCGTCATATTTAATGCATCCGTCGTCGTACGAGGGCACCCCGACCTCTGCTGGGACGGAAGCTCCCTAAATTATAGACGTCACTTGCTTTTTCCCCAGAGAAAGTCCCGTCCTTTCCCCGCCAGAGAAAGTCCCATCCTGACGGCCGACTGAATTCCAGTAAAGGTTCCAGCCAATTACACATTAAATCCCATCCTCTGCATCTGGACACTACAATACCTTGGGGCAAGAATACTGCAAAATATCAACATTTTTCTCCTTTGTTTACATCCCAACAAAGACAAGAGAGAAAGGAGGAAGCATGGAAGAGGAGGAGAGAGAGAGAATGAGATCATGAGAAGCGATGTAGGGAGTGTAAGAGGAGAGCATGATCCATGATGATCTGGAAGCATGATCCATGAGAACATGAGGAGCAAGATCCATGAGATCATGAGGAAGCTGATCCATGAGATTATGAGGAAGCATGATCCATGAGATTATGAGGAAGCATGATCCATGAGATCATGAGGAAGCATGATCCAAGAGATCATGAGGAAGCATGATCCATGAGATCATGAGGAAGCATGATCCAAGAGATCATGAGGAAGCATGATCCATGAGATCATGAGGAAGCATGATCCATGAGATCATGAGGAAGCATGATCCATGAGATCATGACGAAGCATGATCCATGAGATCATGAGGAAGCATGATCCATGAGATCATGAGGAAGCATGATCCATGAGATCATGAGGAAGCATGGAAGAGGAGGAGAGAGAGAAGGGGGTTTAGAAGCGGTAGGGAGTGTAAGGGGAGAAAATGAATGATCTAGTCATGAAAGAACAGGAAGAAAGAAGAGAATGAATGCTCTGACCGATGAGATCTTCGTAATACTGACGGACCGCGACTATCAATGGACTCAGCTTCCCACTCCACCAAGCTAGACAACTTCTACGCGAAGGACAACACACCCGGAGTGAATTTAACATGGAAATGCATTATTTTGTTGGTCTACAGGAGACGTGAGCTTCCGGCTGGAGTGGAAACACATGAATAATGCAGGTAAATGCATTTTTCCTCGTTGTGCGAGTGAGGGGGTGAATACGGCGTGGAGCAGACAGTTCGAATCGACTGCCGTACCATTTATCAGGTAAAGATGCGTAGACACTAGATGCAGAATCTCTACATACGCCAAAGTCTTAAGAGAACACGGATGGTTTCAGCTTTCGCCGAAGAACGTATGTATAATGAAAGTGATTTAATTGCAATTTAGCAATGATTTAATTGCAATTTAAATTACACGTGCAACGTTGCAGATCTTAAATAATCTGAATGACAGTCATACAACCATTTTGTCTTACTAATTAACGACCAGAATGATCTTGTCCTTTCTCTATAGGTCTATACCTCTCTTCCTTACAGCAGACTAGAGGAAGCCGAGGCAGCGGTAACATCAGCAGCAGAGGTCCTTCCTTAGCAGCAGCAAAGGTCCTTCCTTAGCAGCAGCAAAGGTCCTTCCTTAGCAGCAGCAAAGGTCCTTCCTTAGCAGCAGCAAAGGTCCTTCCTTAGCAGCAGCAAAGGTCCTTCGTTAGCAGTAGCAAAGGTCCTTCCTTAGCAGCAGCAAAGGTCCTTCCTTAGCAGCAGCAAAGGTCCTTCCTTAGCAGCAGCAAAGGTCCTTCCTTAGCAGCAGCAAAGGTCCTTCCTTAGCAGCAGCAGAGTCAGCTGCATCAGCAGGAAAGGCAGCTGCAGAATTGTAGGATCAACAGCAGCTGCAGACAACTGAACCAAGTAATAACGACTGTATGGTTAGCAGCAGGGGCAGGAGAGGACACAGCAACAGCAGAGACAGAAGCAGGAGACAACAGCAGGGGGCAGCAGCAGGGGGCAGTATCAGGGGGGCACAGCAGCAGGGGGCAGTATCAGGGGGGCATAGCAGCAGCAGGGGGCAGTATCAGGGGGGCACAGCAGCAGCAGGGGGCAGCAGGGGGCAGTATCAGGGGGGCACAGCAGCAGGGGGCAGTATCAGGGGGGCACAGCAGCAGCAGGGGGCAGTATCAGGGGGGCACAGCAGCAGGGGGCAGTATCAGGGGCACAGCAGCAGCAGCAGCAGCAGCAGGGGGCTTATCAGGGGGGCACAGCAGCAGGGGCAGTATCAGGGGGAATAGCAGGCAGGGGGCAGTATCATAAGGGGGCAACAGCAGCAGGGGGCAGTATCAGGGGCATAGCGCAGGCAAGCAGCGAGTAGCAGTATGGGCAGTATGGGGGGGCAAGGGGCACGCACGCAGCAGGGGGCGGCAGGGAAGCTTACCACGGGAGGGGTAAAATGTGCCGTTTCCCCGTTTCTTGGCTGGGCGGGCTGGGAGCTCCCACGCATAATTCATAGGTAAACGAAAGATTTCGGCCAGTATAAATACGCACGAGGGGCAAGGGGAGAGAACTGTGTGGGGGGAGGGGGGTCTTGTGGGGGGGGGAGAGAGAAGAGAGAGAGGAGGGGGGAGGGGGAGAGGAGAGAGGAGAGAGAGAGGAGAGAGAGAGAGAGAGAGAGAGAGAGAGAGAGAGAGAGAGAGAGAGAGAGAGAGAGAGACAGACAGACAGAGAGAGAGCGCGAGCGCGCAAGAACACATATCTGCCAAGAGTGTATATATATGTCTGTATGCACCGAGGGACCTGTAAATATTCCAGGTGTGTGGGAGAGAACAGGAGACACAGGTTCCAGTCTCCTCTCTTCCTATGACATCTCCTTCATGATGCAACTGAGGAGACCAGCTATAGGGATTGGGGGGGGGGGGGAGGGGAGATAGGGGGGAGGGAGAGCCAGGGAGATAGGGGGGGGGAGATAGGGAGAAGGGGGGGAGGAAAAACAGCGAATAGGGTATTTTTTGAGGTATGACAAAAATAGAAATAATGGTTGTATAAGCTGGACTCAGAAGCGATTGGGATCAGGTTGTGGGTCGGCGATAGAAAGGGTAGAGCGTGTAGAGAGCATGGATAGAGCTATAGAGGGCATGGGTAGAGCTATAGAGGGCATGGATAGAGCTATAGAGGGCATGGATAGAGCTATAGAGGGCATAGATAGAGCTATAGAGGGCATGGGTAGAGCTGTAGAGGGCATGGGTAGAGCTATAGAGGGCATGGGTAGAGCTGTAGAGGGCATGGGTAGAGCTATAGAGGGCATGGATAGAGCTATAGAGGGCATGGGTAGAGCTATAGAGGGCATGGGTAGAGCTATAGAGGGCATGGGTAGAGCTATAGAGGGCATGGGTAGAGCTATAGAGGGCATGGGTAGAGCTGTAGAGGGCATGGGTAGAGCTGTAGAGGGCATGGGTAGAGCAGTAGAGGGCATGGGTAGAGCTATAAAGGGCATGGGTAGAGCAGTAGAGGGCATGGGTAGAGCTGTAGAGG